GCAAACCAGGGTAGACCAGAAAGCAAAGAGACCGCTGAAATCGGTAGGGTGTGACCTCTGTGTGAGGCTGGGACCTGCAGGGCCCCGAGTTCCAGCTCTCTTATTTACTAGCTGTGTGTGCCCGATGCCTCAGTTTCTCCTTTTGGATTATAAAGAGGGTGGGTGAACTGAATGCAAGTTGCCTTCTTCCCTCTGGTGTTTTATGGTGAGCAATCTCATCATGGAGAGTTGATGTGCCTCCTATGTCCCACCTAACTTCAATATCTATTTGCAGGCTGAAAGGTAGAAAGTTGCCTCTGTGTTGCTACTTCTCAGAAAGAAATAAAAGTGCTTTGAAAATTACATATGATGTAACTGCGCTTGCCAGATTTATTCTAACTCAGTCAGTGAATGTAACCTACTTAGAGGATTGATTTATTAGCATGCATTCTTTCAGTATGTATGAAGTCTTTCCTATATAAGGCATCGAGAGAGTTATACAGGTGTAATCTTGCCCTCCTTGGAACTTACGGCTCTGGGTTGGGGAGACACGTAAATATAAATAATTGCAATATGAGGTAGCGAGAGCTCCGTGTCCTAGGATGCTCCAGAGAAACTCCAGGGACTCAGGTTTGGAGGGATCAAGGAGAACTTAATGGAGAAGTAGAAATGTGAACAGGGCCCAAAACAAGAATTAGAGAAGCAAAAGGAGATGACAGTGACTGAAGGAGGGCCTTTCTGCTGAATGACAGAGGTTGCAGGAGGCAGGCTAAGGAGGCGGCATCATGGCTCCGGGCAGTTGGTAACCACAAACAGCTGTCAGGAGGGAAGTGGGAGGCTGTGTCATGCCCTCTTCCAGACCAGTTTCTACTAAAACGTAAGGGCTCACTGGTCTCTAGTGTCTACGACAGCTCCATGTATGCCCGTGAACAGACAGCATCACTGATCAGTGACCTTGGGGATGGCAGCCCAATGTCAGGGAACAGATTTGAATGCTTCTCTGGAGAGGACACAGGGAGCAGCTCCCAAGCATGCAAACCAGGACAACCTTGGATCTCAAGCATAGATTTGGCAATTTTACCACAGAAAATGAGCGCGTGAGAGAGGAGAGGGCGGGGAGAGTGTTCTTCCCCCCTGTAATCATGAGCAGAAATAACATCTCATTATAACCTTTAAAGAGAGGAGGCCCTTTAAATGAAACAGTAACGAAGCTGGACAGGATCGCTTTGAAGACTTGGCCGTTGGTGGTGAGGAAAACGCTAACATCTGTTAGGGCCCTTCGTCTCCAGTGGAGCTCTATCAGCAGAATCTGAGTGCTTCCCGTGTACGTGTGCGTGTGTGTCAGGTACATGTGCGGGTGCCGCCAGCAAAGGCACGTGAGAAGCCAACGATGCACAGACTCCCACATCTGACGGCCAGGGGGGCTGTGGCTGCAGGTGAAGTAGGGCCATTCCCTCAGAACAGCCCAGATCAAGCCTGGGGCCTGCAGGTTGATCTATTGCCTTTGAATTATTTTTTCCTCCTGGTCTGAGGCTAGAGCCAGGGTGGGAGCATGGAATTTGGAGTGACTTGTCCTGTGATTCGTGGTAGGAGGAGGTACTGGCCCACCATTCCAGACAAGCCCCACTAAAAAAGAGAGAGCAGATGGAAAAGGTGATTGATGAGTGATGTTTTAAATTAGGGATCAGAAAGGAGGGCACGATATTGTAATAACAAAATCATATGATATTTGAAATTATTCTAGCACTCTCAGTGTTTCTAACAGTTTCGCTGTGTTCACCCATTACAACCATGCCTTTGGCTGCATTCCTGCTTGTCAACGAGTGCACCCTTTCTGGCAGGGTGAAAAAGGAGAGGAACTGAGGACAGCTTTGCTCACTTAAGGTTCTACTTATATAGGGACCCACAGAATGCTGAAGCTGGAAGGGACTGTAGACATCATTTAACTCAGTCTTCACAGACGAGGAAAGGAATAAGTGGCTTTGGGAAGGTGTCGGTGGAGCCTTGCCCTCTCTGCTTCAGTAAGTACACCTAATCCGGGCAGTGCTGGCCTTAGAAAACAGAGAGACGTTGCTGTGATAACACTGACTCAACTGTTAATCCTCAGTTTACACCCTAGATTGGCTGCTTCCTAATTTTACTCCACAAAAGTTTCCTAAACATATTTTTAAAAAAGTAGATTCTAAAAACATGAATTTCAGATTTTGCTGTCCTATCTATAAAATAAAAGCATAATATGCTAATTAGACTGGATGTCATTCCGGATGACCTTCTGGACGAAGCCAGGGCTGCGAGGGAAGCCCGGGGCCCGGGTGCCGGAGGGAAGCCGGTGCCGGCAGCTGGGAGAAGGAAGGCCTACTCTTGCACAAATTTTGTGCGTTGGGCCTTGAGTAAATACACATTTTCCTAGAGCTGGACTTAATTTCTCCCTACAAATTAATTGCACAGAAAAGGAAATGTTACATATACCACCATCCTATAAAGAAGCAGGTCCCCTGAGGTAGCTCCCCTTTCTCCAATGGCTGCCCAGTGGGATTAAAATGAATATGAAACTGGGAGCAAAGGCCCACGGTGCTGCCGGTGTATGAGGGGGCTCTCGGCTGCCTGCAGGCACAGACAGCATAGAGAGCTGCCCTGATTCTGAGGACAAAGAGTGAGTGTGGATCTGTGTCAATGTCAAGGCCTGACTGTGTCCCTCACTGGGCACCGAAGTCAGAGCAGGAGTCTGGGCTGGCAGGGAGGCCTGGAATGGGCTTCAGGAGGGGGAAGGCGGAGCAGCAATAAAGGGTCTTGGTGAGTCCACATTTAATATGTGGGAGCTGACTCCAAGCAAAGTGGAGGGACCTGCTCAAGACCTTACCATCTAGGGTCTTAGGTGAAACTAAGATGATCCTCGGTTCCGATTCCCATGCCTTTATGAACGTTTACTCTGGAGCTGGGGACACTCTGGGGAAGACAGTGAAAGTCACAGCACGCAGTGCGATGGCCAGATGACACAGGAACAGAGTTCATAAGCTCCCGTTTCTGGTGCCAAGACGAAACATGTCGTAATGAGTGAAGGGGCTTGAAGCTTTTCGTTTATGGATGGGATTTAGTGGGTCAGAACAGTTTACAAACATTATAATGTGGGCAGCATACTCAGCACATTAAATTATTTGGAGGTTTAAAAAAAACACGCCTGCCTTCCGCCTACTTCCTCTGGACCCCGGGAGAGATTCAGATAGGACTGGCCCTTGGTTAAGAACCACTGCTCTGGTGGCCCACAGACAGACTGGACCCTGTCAGCTCCCCTGGGTGTGCGGGGCAGAGGAAGGTTTACCAACCACCGATGGACAGCCTCACGGTAGCCGTCACGAGCTGTGGCTCCCTTGTGTGCAGCTGGTCAAGTCATTTCCTAGCACCTCCCAGAATAACCCTTTTAGACCAATAGAAATAAAATAGGGAATTAAAGTTTTTCTATTAGCCACATTCAAAAGGAAAAGGAAACAGGTAAAATTCATATCAGTAGTACATTTAACTCAACATATCCAAAGGGTGCCATTTCAACATGTAGTAAATATATGTTATGTTTTACTTTTTCATACTAAGTCTTCAAAATCTGATTTTTTTTTTTTTTTTTTTTTTTTTTACTTACAGCACATCTCCATCATCATTAGCCACATTTCAAGTGTTCAGTAGCCACTTAAGGCCAGTAGCTGCCACGCTGGACATATAATTGCCCTTGCCCCCCTCATTCACCTAAGTTTACTCCAAGAGACATAGAGATTTCCCCACACGGTAGCCATTCCTGCCTGTCTCGGGGCCTTTTCCTTTCCAAGTCTAATGAGGACACTTCGGTCTTTATTCCATCCCAACTCTTCTCCACTCAGCCAACAAGTTATCATTCCTGAGCGCCTACTAAGTGCAGGCTCTTTGTTAACATATGAAGATGAAGAGATTACAACTCACAGACCCTGACTTCCTGAGGTTGGTGGGAAATGAAGGCACATACTAGAGAGCCTGGTGACTGCTGTACCGAAAGGCCTGGAGGGGGCACAGAGGAAGGGATGGCTGCTCCTTTGGGGCTGATGGAAAGCAGTCACAGCAAACGAGGCACTGGGCTGGCTTTAAGGGGCACTGGGCTGGCTTTAAGGGGCGGGAACAGTTGTGGAGAGGCAGAGAAAGTGTCTCAGGCAAAGGGAAAAGTATATTCAACACAGAAGAATGAGGATCTGCATGCCTGGAAATGGCAAGTATCTAAAAAGAAAATTGAATGAGGGGCATTCTCGGAGCAGGGAGACCTGGGGATGGCGTTAGCATAGACTGGAGAGGACCAAAAAACAAGGAGAGCCTGAACAAAAGGGAACCAACACGTTTAGAAAGGAGGGGATGTGAGCACCGACCTGAATGAAGGAAATGTAAGAGCACCGTTTTCTAAACACAGCCTCCAGGCGAAGCATCTGATGGAACTTGAGCAAAGGGCACAATAGGTCATGCTTTCCAGGCTCAGATACCGAGGCCCCTGGCATGTTTCATACGGGGCTACTGCAGCCTGTTGGGGTCTGAGAGCACTAAGTGGCCTGAGGAATGAATAGAGAGAGCTACCAATGGCTTAATTTAGGCAGTAGAATCATGCTAAGTTACCGCCATGGTTGCTCAGTAAGTCATGCCTGAGAGATGCCAGCTTGATCAGATGACATGATGGCTTATGTCTTCTGGAAGAAGGCCAGAGCTCTCAGGTAAGAACAGGGTAAAAACAACGTGACATTCACAGTGACACATGGGAAAGCTGAGGCACGGAGGGTGAAAAGGCTTAATCAGAGGCCATACAGTTAGTAAGTCTGCAGAGCAGAGAACAGAACTCAGCTTGGTGGTCCCAAAGCCACCGTGAAACTAGACAGCAGCTGCCATGGAGAACTATTTTACCTTTCCAGAATACTCAAGTGGAAAAAGAGAAAGCAAGGCTAGAGACACATTAGGTAAGAAAACCATCTTTGCGAGCCACACAGATTTTGTTTAGCAGCCATGAACAAGGTACTCACACGGAGAAAGGTCCACAAAGTCTGGATCGATGTTATGTAGCAGCTCAATTCTGGGGGACGGGCTTCCTTCACTAGAAAAGAATTTTTTAGAAAACGTTAATTTCCTCTCTCAAATGGGTATCAGTGGTTTTAATACTTCCTACCCTTACAGGTTTAGAAAATAGCAAATTTACCAACTGACATGTATCGCCAAGTAGTCCTCATTTGTTTCCATTATAACAATGACTGAACATTTATATAAGAACTTCAGTGTCAAGCGTATTTTTTTAAAAAATGAATCTGGTGACCTTTTGCAATAGACAATGTAGCTGTATTTAAACACACTGAATCCTCACAGTGAAATGAAGACAGAGCATCTACCACGGTGGCGGCATCAGTAGTACAGATGCAGCATGCCTCGTGGATATCCGCGTATGTGAGAAAAGCTACTGTCTTCCCTGTCAGACTGGCAACATGGTTAGAACATATAGTTACTACAAGGACATGTGAAATACATATACTTCTTTAACATGAAAAGAGGGTGCATGCAAATTCAATCACAACCTACAGTGGTGCTGGAAAAAAACCTCGGAGATCACTTAGTCCAACTCCTCACGCTGCTGAAGAGCAAGGCACACTGTAAGTTATTGGCCTCAGACGTAGGTGGGGTGTGCAGGAAGCACCCAGGTCATTTTTCTAGTATATACTCAGCCTTACGGAAGGTGTTAGACACAGTTCCAGTCCCTGGGGGAGAACTGTGGAGAACTTGATAATCCAATAGGAGATTGCCGAGTGCTGTCAATGCCCTGGATTTGTACGTATCTGAATAACCAGTTTAGGCTCCTGAGGTACTAAGAGGCCATGTTTTCAGGTGGCCCAATATCCACACCCCACACTCACAGCTAGTTATCCACAGCAGTGGTTTTGGGATTCTAAGGACCATGACATTTCAAGAAAATCTGGGTTGTGACTGGCAATGTTGTATTTGTGAAGTAAGTAAATGTTAAAACAAAGTTAAATGTATTAAAACAAAAAAACAAAACTCTTCAATTCCCATCACCAATATTTTTCATCTTCTGGATGAAAGTTCCTTATTATACGCATGTTTTGTTAATATTTTCTCTAATTCTATGTTTTTTTGTTTTGTTTTATTTTTTTCTTTCCTGATAGTATCATTTGCTGAACAAAAGTTTTGGTATATGATACGATTTCTTCCTCAAACGTATGTGTACCAAAGTGGGTTGGATTAAAATAAAAGTGTTTAGTATGTTCATAATAGCTTGTAGCAACTATCAACTGTGATCACACAGTTGTGATCTTAAAGAATAAATTGTGGCCTCATCAAACTCATAAAATGCTTATGTGAGGGATTATTGCTGTATGACAACATGTGTTAGCTTCTATCTTCTCTATGTTTCTATATGTACTTATAGGTAATGCTTAAAAACTGTATTTCATTATTCTTTTGCACATTATTTCTAAGTTTCTTTTCCATACAACCAAAGCACTAGAAACTGGGCAATGTCAGTTGCTTTAATAGTTTATGGTCTTACTTCTGCCTACTTCTGGAGCCCTGGCTTTCTCATAAGCAAAATAGCATTGTCTTTAAGAGCACAGCCTTTCAGAATTTGCATCTCTACTCCACAAATTACTGGCCATATAAACTTGAGCCTTGTTTTTCTCACTAGCAGAATGTGAATAAAAGTACCAACTTACACGGATGTTATGAATTAAATGAGGCAACATTTGTAAAGCACTTAGCACAGTGCCTGGGATATACTGAGTGCCGAATAAGCCGGTCACTTAAGATCAATAACAACTTTCATTGCAAAATGCAGATTTTAACTATGCGGACACGGGAAAAATACAACCACAAAAACAAGGCTACAATCTGAGAGGCAGATATAAGAATAATATGTAGATACAATGGACATTAATATTCTTACCCATTCTTCTTGCTAGCAAGAGTTCCCCTATGAAACACAATGAGGAAGCTATAGCTAATTCCTAAGGACTGTTGTGATACTCTCTCCCATGTGACAGTCTCTTTAGAAAAGCATCAGTGTCAAATAAGGCTAAGGTATACAGTCTACCCGTGATGAGCTGCATATGAAAAAGATATGCTGCAATCTGTTATGTGGGAATTTTCCTTGTTTTTCGGTTTAGACAGATGGCACAGTTTAGCTGTATAAGCAACACTACCTCCCCTGGACTGTTGATTCCACTTGTGGAAAGTAAATCTCTGAATAATGACTGATGATGTTTATAGTAAGTGATTTTTCAACACTCACACAAGTTCCTTGTTTTTAGGTGAAGCTAGGGAAGGGGGGTTTCTAGGATGGCAGCTCTTTGGGCCCCAGGCTGATAGGAACGAGGGAGAGTTCTCTAATTAGGTAAGCATCTGTGGGACTCTTCGTGGACCTCACAGCACAGTGTTCACCTCCTGCCTCGCATGCATTAGAGGCCAAGGCAGTCAGTTCACAATGACCACATGATGATGGACACCCATCTCTAAACCAGTGAAATGGGCACGTCACACACATGTCCATAACCTTCAAACTGGAGTCTCGTGGGGGTCTTTGGCTGAGCTAACTGGAATAATAGTGACCAGCATTTGTAGAGCATTTACCATTTTAAATACTTTACATGCATTATTTCACTTAATTCTTGACACTATGGTGTAGACACCACCTTGGCACACTGCAGTTAAGTGAGTTACAAGATTACATGTTAAGGAGGTGATAGAATTGGGTTTGGAACTCGGGCAGACTGACTCCTGAGTTCCCCACTCCTAACCACAATGCTAAATTGTCTCCTTAGTGAAATGTAGACATGGCCTCAGCATCTCCTTGAATGTATTCTATTTTCACTCATGTAGTTTATTATTAGGCACCATTAACAAATATCTCGATTGACTTCAAATATCTCTATTAAGAGTTTTTCTCCATTTTCTTGTCTTGAAGACTGATACATTTCAGTATTTAATTTTAATTTACCTCAAATTTCATATTTTCTGGGTTAATTTTATTAAAAAATAGAACAAGGAGAAATTGATCAGTGACTAGTTTCCAATATGCTATAAATATTTTCTAAAAGTCTACAGTTTCAGACACTGAGATCACAGCACTGTCCATTTATAAATAGAGTTTCCAGTTTTTGACTTTCATTTTCCAACCAGTTGAAAGGTGGGGCAGTAAAACATTTCCCATAAATAAGTGAAATGCTATTACATTCCATACTTCTTTTACCACTAGCTACTGGCCATCTGTCACAAAAAGACACACCCTGTAAGGCAGTATCAAATTTTTACAAAGAGAAACAGCCAGGGAAATATTTTCTGAGGTGAAATTTTGAAAAACAGTTACTAATTTAAAAAAATTTTCAACAAATACCTACATAATAATGTCCGTCCCATTAACCCTTTATAAGCATCATCATCATCATCATCTTCACTTCAAAATACAGTGCTGTTACTATGTCCCAGGCACTGTGCTAAGTGTTTTATAAAGATTATTTTACTAAATCCTCCTATAAGTGACTATGAGGCAGGTATCACGATTAGTGTACTTTAAACATGAGGAAACTGATGCTTAGAGTTGTTAAGTAACTTACCCAGATCACACAAAACATAAATGGAGACAGAGTTTGAACCAGATATAACCACAGAGTTCACATTTGTAACCATTATAAATATCTTTGTTATGTGGGAATGTGTGATACTGGGTTTGTGTAAGTCCCATGTTCCTTGAAAAGCCATTTTAACATGCAAACATGGTTACAAATGAAGAGTTTAGGCACGGAAATGATAAAATTTTTACTATATTTAATGAGAAAATTAATTTGTTTAACGTTATATACAAGGAGAGAATTTTTCATGTTATTTTTATTAAGGAATCTTAATTAAAATTTATGTAGACTTAAGAAATAATATTAAGTAATATTATAAAAAGTGATGGAATCATGCCCTTAATATAATTTTTTCCTACTCATTAATGTGAAATAATTGGTAGTTCTTTGGGGTTAGTATCTAAGCAAACCAGCAGGGCCTAATAAGCCTTTATTCCAATTTCCATTATAAAACTCATGAAGAATTACAAAGAGATGAAAACTGGCAACAGTGTTGGAAAATGAAGAGAAGACCAGATGCCAAAGTCCCGAGGGAATGTCCCTAATGCCAGTGCTGCAGAGATTAACAACATATTCTTGGATTCCACCAGAAGAATCAAAACCTGATCCCAAGAAAAACAGAAGATGGTGTCATTCTGTCTACCTTTAGGTAGAGGACTCAGGGGGCAGCACCACAAAAAAACAGGCACTGCTCTCCCATTAGCAGGCTTCAAAGCAAGCCTTCTGTCCCTCCTCCCTCGCCCCCAGGCAACATCCCTCCCTATTTCCACCCCAGCAGCAAACACCAGACCATATGGGAGTAAACAAAAGAAACTAGCATGACGAGTAGCATCCTAGAATATAGCAGCTAAATACAAAAGAAATATACAACAGCACGCAGAGCTCTGCTGGTACATACTAGGGGCATAGGGTAGAGCTCTTTTGTCAAAAAGGGTAAAGAAAGGAATAAAAAAAAATAACACGTCGTTTTTTAAACATTCTGCTTTAACTTAAAAACATATATGTCACTTGGCAGTCTTCGAAGGCAGAGTACTGGCTGGAGTTCCCTATCATCTTTATTACCAACCGTACTTATCATGCTTCACTATAGTTTCTAGTGCTGCTTGTCTTAAACAAGTACAAGGGCCCAAGAACATGTGAGTTTCCAGATTTCCACAGAAAACTGGTGGGCATCTAAATTTGAATCTCTCCACACATTTTTCTGAGAAAAAACAAAAACAAAAAACAAAACAACATACTGAAAAGGAAAGAGTAAAATCACCTAACACCCAAGCCCACAACATAAGCAGGAGACAGAACATATATAAACTCTGGATCGGGTTTAAACAACCACCTGATTTGTTTAAACCCAATCCACATGGACACCGAAAACTCAGTGCTGGTGTCCATGTTAGTCGAGACAGGTGGGAATCATGCAAAGGACAAGGAGGAGTACAAGAGGGGAGGGGCTTCAGAGCATGTCTAG